TGCAGATACCAGAAAGTACTCTAATGTCAGAAATGGGAACACTGTTGATTGATATGCATTTCCATTTAGTTGTTTCACGCTGTGTCATTCATGTTCCAGTGGGATGAGTGCATCTTTAATGCCAATTGTGCTCTATGTCTACGAACCCTTACTGAGACGTCATAAGGTCATCTTTTACTGACAAGCTCACATACAAACAGCCAGAAACAGTGCCTGCCAAGAACAATGAAATATATATGCTGTAACAAACTTTTTACTGCTTATTTGCAACTGGAAGCTTATTTTATATCTAATACGCACCTGAAATATAATCTTGTGATACAATGTCAACAGATATTTAATGTACACTCAAGTAACCATGGTTACATACAAAAGATTTAGCTACAGTTCTGTGTCAGTGAATCCAGACCACCCAGACCAGAAGAAACACAAAGCTTTATCCTGACCTGAAACTTCATCTTGTAGATAATCCAACACTTGTGCATGCCATTTCCAAGCCTGAATATACTGTTAATGGTCATAAGGCTCCTCAAGTGTTAAACACCATGATCCTGAAGCCCAAGCCACATACAACGTGTCATCTGTAACACTATTGTCCTTACAACTCCCAATATTTACTAGAGCATGTGTCAGACCACCTCCACAGTGAATGTACTGCAGACACTGGTCACACCTGAGCAGCTCCACACAAACACAGGACAGTGCAAGATGACTCACCTCCTCCTCCTCCCAGACTGGGGCAGCTGTAATACATTCCATTGATTGTCTGAAGCCAAACTGAGATAGATATTGGACACTGCATGCAGGAAAGGCAGGCTTCCAGCCACTTCAGTTCAATACTTGCAACCATTCAGTTAAAGCCTTGTTGTACAACTGATGAATGTTGTGGCAGGAGATACGAGAGACATTTTATGGCCCATTCACCAATCAAACAATGATAACATTAATAGTGCAAGAATTTGAAATGACTTAATCTCATAGATAATGTTATTTCCAGCTGGGCTGCCACTGATAATACCTGAAAGAACTAGTTTTCAGGGAACATTTACCCTGGTAACAAGTCTTCAGGGAACATTTACTCTGGTTACTAGTATTCAGGGAACATTTACCCTGGTTACAAGTCTTCAGGGAACATTTACCCTGGTTACTAGCCTTCAGGGAACATTTACCCTAGATACAAGTCTTCAGGGAACATTTACCCTGGTTACAAGCCTTCAGGGAACATTTACCCTGGTTACAAGTCTTCAGGAAACATTTACCCTAGATACAAGTCTTCAGGGAACATTTACCCTGGTTACTAGTCTTCAGGGAACATTTACCCTGGTTACTAGCCTTCAGGGAACATTTACCCTAGATACAAGTCTTCAGGGAACATTTACCCTGGTTACTAGTCTTCAGGGAACATTTACCCTGGTTACTAGCCTTCAGGGAACATTTACCTTGGTTACTAGCCTTCAGGGAACATTTACCCTAGATACAAGTCTTCAGGGAACATTCACCCTGGTTACTAGACTTCAGGGAACATTTACCCTAGATACAAGTCTTTAGGGAACATTTACCCTGGTTACTAGTCTTCAGGGAACATTTACCCTGGTTACTAGCCTTCAGGGAACATTTACCCTGGTTACTAGCCTTCAGGGAACATTTACCCTAGATACAAGTCTTCAGGGAACATTTACCCTGGTTACTAGTCTTCAGGGAACATTTACCCTGGTTACTAGCCTTCAGGGAACATTTACCCTGGTTACTAGCCTTCAGGGAACATTTACCCTGGTTACTAGCCTTCAGGGAACATTTACCCTAGATACAAGTCTTCTAGTCCTTACTAGGTACCAACCTAAAGCTGGCTACCTTAGTCTTGAATAATGCTGAAATCAATAGCCACTGCATGAGTATTCATAATGTCACATCAAGAGCATAATGACATCATCAATGAGCATTGCTAACACAATACACATTACAACTGTTTGCTCGCAGCCATCTTCTTTGAGTACCAGCTCCATTAACTCTTGATATAATTCCACCTGTCTTTGTTCAAATTACTGGCAATCGTTTAGAGATTGTGATATTGGGACAAGCATGAGAAAAGCTTTTAGAATGTTTGAGAAACATTGATTAAAAGATACTGATTGAAAATTTGACACATCTCTGGCAATATGAATAACAATAACCTCAACATGCATGAATGTATGGCTTACACAGCACACAAGCAATCTCACCGTCATACTTTGTAGTGTAAACATGGTTTCTATCTTGATACAACTGTTTATCATCACCTACTATTTTAATAATGAAATAACAAAAGGTAACCATGGCAACAAAATGTTAAGTAAATCCCGGCCTTCATAATTATCAGACTTCATGAGTGGGCAAGACTCCATATTACAGTATGTCCAGACATCACTATTTATGTCCTGTGAGAAACTGAAACATATCTGTATGTCATTTGGACAACTAGCTTCTGGTTGATTGAAGTTATTCTTTAAACTTGGTCAAAACAGTAAAAAGGCTGTTTGATTGACCATATTCTAGCCTTCCAAAACTGCAATGTTGCAAGTGTCTAGTTTCTCTATGAAAACATATGTAGATGTTCCTGACAATAAAGCGTGGCGTTAAACAACAAACAAACAAACAAATCCTGACAAAGGCACAAAAATAGGGTTTCTGAACAAAGTATCATCATATTCCAAAATGCTTAACATGGCCTTTCTATTGACCCTAGACTTGCACAAGTCTCTAAGGCAAAAATGATTAGTTTAAATCATAGTTTCTAGACCATATAAATAATTTTTAAAAAGTTGTCCCCAAAAAGTCTGGCACCCTTAGAGACTTGTGAAATCCAGATTTGCCCCAGCCACCCATGTGGATATTGTCAACATGACCCCTAAGGAAACAAATCTACTGATACTCAATTTCTGACCAACATAGGTCCCCAATGGTCCATAATTTCTCATACCTAGACCATAGTCTGTGCCAAAGACTTTCGAGTTTACCAGGTACTTGTCCACATTCATCTGTTGGCAACATATTGAATACATGTAGTAATAATGATTACATGGCGACTATGAGCTGAGCGTACCATACACAAAGATATTTCTTATCATGCCCAGGCTTTGGTCTCATGGCAAAGGTTGCAGACTGGGAACATCACGTTCACAAGAAAAGTGTCAGCTGACCCATCTGTATTCAAATCAATCTGAAGCTGAAGACAGTGTACCATGTCAGAGCCAATGTTGAAGAGACAAACCATGCTAATCCTCTGCAGCTCGCAAACACCATTGTATGGGGATTCAATCATGCTAATTAGCCCAACCATAACCAACATTAATCAGAAACTAAAGAGGATCAGCTCAATTTAGCTCCACTGACTGTTACGCCATGGCTCTCATTTGCAGCCATGTTGGTCTCTAGCGTGTCTGACGTCTGGAAAAGAAACAGTGGCTTAGAGCACACAGCCATGAAATTGGGAGTCTGGAAGGCTGATCGGGCACCCACGTCAGTAAAGTCTGATGGCTAAATACCGACATAATAAAGGTGACAGACTACAAATAACGTCCACATGGGAAAATGAACATTTGATCAAAGTCAAGTTCATGTGCTGGATTAATTCAAACATAATGCTAATTATGTACCAGAGTTGACCCTATGCCAAACACTTTTTTTATTAATCATGTTAATAGCTCGAACTAATCTTCTGGTATTGTTTAATATGATTACTTATTGATTTTCATTTGCCAAGTTAGTAGCTTAACAGGAATTTTACTGTACTGGGGCTTCCAGACGTTTCATGATGCCTTATATTGTTGATAATAAGAAAAAGCTTATTCATGATGAACACTTGTATGATAAAAACAGGTTCAGTTCAACAATGTTCACCAACATGATCCATTCCAAAGATTGATGGAATTTCACACTTCTGGAGACACCATTGATTATTATGGGTATGTTATGTTTGTTACAACAAACCAGACCAAACACTGAATTTCACCTCAACAATTTTAAAAGGCAAAGTTTCAATTCTACCACTTGCCCCAGTTTCCAAACATGAAACTTTTGAATATTATCCTTCCCACAATCAGTGTCAGAGTGTTATGTTAAGCCTGTGCTGTGTGTGTATGCCTGGAACGTTCTTCTCGAACATCCTCCCAGAACACAGAATCAAGTTTCCAGAGCTGTGATAACATTTACCGAAATGTCTGAAATAGTTGTTGTGAACACACAACCTGAACAGCTGTCAAGGGAGAGAACACGAACAATGTATTCACTCATAGTGACCTAAAGTTAGCAGATGCTACTATTCCAACAACTAACAATAGAGTGTAAAGAAAAACACACCGACGCATGTCATGCTTATCAATTCTTTCAACTTAAACAGTCTATCTTTAGGAGGAAATTTCTTGCCCATTTTGTTAGGCCTAATTTATCACAGATCCACACTGTTTAACTCTCTTTAGATATCATAGTCCTGCACCATGACAGTGGAATATATAGTGTTTAATCGCTTTTCACTGAAAGCCTAATTAACTAAACCAAGTCTAGTTTCCATATTTCCATATTATGCAGATGAGGAAAGGTTCTATTGAAAAAAAAGAACAGAAATATATTAAAGAAATGCTTTCATAGACTAAGGGTTAGCATAAAACTATCAGTACTTAAAACATGTTAATTTACAGATGTTATGATGAAAACTGCAAAATCTTCTAGCTAACCCATGACAACCAATACAATCTCATCATACCTCTTATGCAGAGGTTGTCGGCTTGAGAGAAATAAAGTTCTGTTTGGTTCTGTTTGGTTCTGTTTATTGTTAATTAATTGTTGCAAAATGTAGAAATTCACTCTCACTTATGTTCACAATTACGATAATGTAGAACCAGAAGTAACAGAAGTCAAAGAAATAATAATGATTTCCAGATTTTCACTTTGGCGCTAATTTTTTCTGTCTAACATGAAATATTTCAAAGTAAAGCATTTATCATCAAAGGAAGCAGACCACCAACCTGAAACCTAATGCAACATCCGAATCATGAATGACTCCGCTAGGTGTCCCATGGTGCCATGCTGTCATCAAGAACAAAGATTGTATCCTGCAACACGATCCTTGTCAACAAACACAACACGCAATCCACCTATTTAAAAAACAAATCTCACAAGGGATCGAAAACCTTCAACACGAAACTGTTTGATTTAGCCTGTTTAGTTCAAAACAGTAGATGTGGGGAAACTGCCGATACAGCACAAAGTATGTCTTCATTCAGAACCTGGCCCCTGACATCCAAACACTGGCTGAGCGGGAAACACTGGTGGGCAAGGCAATGATGGTTAGGAGCTGCCACGAAGACTGGAGTCTCACGTTTGTCATCTTGTCCCAGACTGCTCCCTGTACATGGGAGCTTGGGTTACAGCAAGGCAGAAGACAGGAACAGCCCTGCTCCTCGTCCTAGATCTGGGGGAGCCTCCCACAATTGATCTCAGCGATACACTAACTAACTCAGTAGACAAAGGTAGTGCCTGAAATAAGGAGACCTCTGTGAGGTTTCCTGTTGTGGCATTTTAAATAGCAAGTCGAGGGACCCCTTAATCTTTAATTTATAACATTTGGGTTTTGAACTTTCATCCCTTTCAACATAAACACAGCAAATCGTCAGTCTCAAAATCCTATAGTCAGTCTCACAGACCCTGATACAAATATATCAAATACAGCCCATGCAAGTCTATAATGTTTGGCAAGTCTAGATTACTGCAGTGAAAATGAAGAGTCTCTGGGCTCCCTTTTATTATATTTGTATTAAAACGATTGAACAACTGTTTTTTTCTGTACAATATGTTCATTTCAGAGACTAGATGTTAGTCTAACAATCCCCGAACCATATTATTTTATTTTCTGCCCAGCCCTGAATGTAATGCTATAGCTAAAAGAGAAGCAAGTCTAGATTTCCACAGGTTCGGAATTTCCCATCTCACTGGGGCTCTTTTCAATATAACTGTAGCTGCTCGTTACAATCAAAATAATATTTTCAGGACTATAATAAGTGTGAGAGTACACAGGAACATTCATATCGCTATAGCTGCAGAAACACATTAGTCCAATCTTTCCATGTCTCAAACTGCCCTATGATGGCCACCTGCAGATAATGGAATGTCATCCTATTCCACACTTACACATTATCCTGTTAACGGTGCAACTTGCTACGGCAAGTTGTCTCCAAGGCTGTAATGATGCAACACGTAATGAATTACAATATTGGGACTGGGTAAATGTGAGTTTAAGGACTTAATGCTGGTTATCGGTTGACAGCATGCTCCTGGTAATGTCCGTTCGTTTCTATTTTGGTCTCAATGACAGCAGATTAGGACCATCAAGCAGTGATGTGTGCCATGGTGACCATTACCTCCGCATACTGCACAGCTAGGGATGGTGTGGACGTTGCACTCAGTCACATGATGAGCAGACACGGTCACTTGGAGGTCACTCAAGCCGTGCATCCAGATCATCCATAGCAACTTGTTTATGATGTTAATATATTTGTAACTTGTATATCAGTGCTCCAATTAATGAGGAAAGTTAAGGGGTTCTTGTAATTACCCTAATAATAAAAGTAAGAGACTATGGTGGACCAACGTCATGGACCCACTTTCTTCTCTCTCCTTACTTTCTGACACTGGACAGCCTTTGAAATCAATGATGAAAGCAAGGGTTTCATTTCATGACCCTAATGTTCATGATGTTAAAAACATAACATTTGTGGGGTCCCTAATTTTAAACACAACAGCAACAAACCTCCAGGGCCTAACGGTCCCAATACATGCGCAGGAGCAAAAACATCGTAATTTTCAATTATTCACTGCAGTTTTAGCAGACCATCTTGGCATGCTTGGTGACTATTAATTTTTAATAGTTTGCAAATGAGCTAATGTCTGCAAGTGTGATGTCTGAGTCAGTCACAATTGTTTGAACAGACAGCTGCCATCAGGACATGGTGGACACAGTACAGACCCACTTAGACTTGCACAAGTCTCTAAGACAAAAATTATTAGTTTAATTCGTAATTTCTAGATTATGTAAATAAAAAGAACCAGTTGTCCCTATAAGAGACTGGAGTCCTTGTACTGTCCACATATCTAGACTTACCTATTTGGAGGATAGAATTACTACACATCCATGGACTTTTCTTTCAGTACAGCCTTGGAGCAAGGCTAGTCCACATATAAAGACTTGCCTATAAGGAGGATTGACTTCCTAGACAGCCATGGACTTTTCTTTCAGTACAGCCTTGGAGCAAGGCTAGTCCACATATCAAGACTTGCCTATAAGGAGGATTGAATTACTACACATCCATGGACTATATTTTCAGTACAGCCTTGCAGCAAGGCTACGACCAACTATGTGCTTGACATACCCAGACTATTGAGTGTGCAGTGCTCATTTAATAAAGCTGTATTGCACCATCATAATGAGCCCCTTCCTCTTTCTCATAGGCCCTGTGTACAACACTGAGTGATGTCTACAGAGAAAAAGTGGGCAGTTTGAATACTAAACTCAATAATGGTGAGTTATTTTGGGGGATTTAGTGAGATTGCTCAAAGAAAGAGGTTTTAGTAGTGATAGAATGAGGCTTAAGATGAATGAGGTTTAGGGAGTGAGAGAATGAGGTTTTAGTTCTGAGAGAATGAGGTCTAAGTAGTGAGACAATGAGGTTTTAGTAGTGAAACAATGAGGTTTGGGGAATGGGACAATGAGAGAATGAGGTTTTGGGAGTGAGAGAATGAGGTTTTGGGAGTGAGAGAATGAGGTTTTGGGAGTGGGACAATGAGGTTCTAGAAGTGGGACAATGTTGTTTTTGGGGTGAGAGAATGATGTTTTGAGAGTGAGTGATGAGGTTTTAGCAGTGAGACGATAAGGTTTTAGTGGTGATAGAATGAGGCTTTAGTAGGAAGAGAATGAGGTATTTGATCGAATGGGCTTAAGTTGTGAGAGAACAAAGACTTAGGATGAATAAGTTTCATCAGTGAGAGAATAAGGTTTCAGAATGAATGAGGTTTCGTAGTGAGAGAATGCGGCTTTGAGATTAATGAGGTTTAAGTTGTGAGAGAATCAGGTTTAGGGTGTAAGCGAAATTTTGAAGAAAGTAACTGACACAGCTCCACATGCTAAATGCTGTGTCAGCCGTTTGGCAGCAATTCACAGTAAAGAAATCATTTACACAGACAGTCTCACAACACAACAGTATCTTTGACTGAGTGAGGTTAAATTTTCCATCCCAATGACAAACTATGGCTAGCTGTTAAACTACAAAAGTATCCCTATTTCACAATGCTCCAGTGACCCAGTGCCCTTGCATGTAAGACAATGCACACACACAGACAAACATAGGGCTTGTAGGCAGTGCATGTTGTGCTATACACACCAGCGGATCTCAGACACACATCCATCATGTCAGAACCTGCTTTTTGCTGATATCCCCTGAGACTTCCCAGCACTCAGTGTTCACAAGGCTCAAGCTACAGCAGTGCATTGATGGCAGCCAAGCTTACATCACCATGCACAGACAGAAAATCATTGTCATCTATGTTCCACACAATTATTCACTTGCAAAACATGTAATGTTATGTTTTGAGTTAATGGCTAGCAATGTTACTGAACTGACACACAGTACGTTTAATATGAAAATCGGTTTTTCAAACTATGTCTAGGTGCAAATATTTGACCTTCATATCTTACATAAATAGATCAGGCAAAGAGGTATGTGTGCAAACATTTGTAAACTTAAAACAGCAAAGTATTAACGGTAAATATTCAAAAGAACATACAACATTCTGAAAACACAGGTTTTACTCTTGGTAAAACTATTCAGCAAATATTAACAGTCTCTAAAAGATAGAGTCAGACATGCATACACCTACATATGACCTGCCTGTATTCTGTAATCAAAACTGGAGCAAGCAAACCTAAAGCCATTCAAGTGCAATGATCCACGTCAGTAACACGACACATACAGGTGAAAGTGGGTGTTCCAGATTAACCATCCAATTCCATGTGAGAATCAAACCTGGTCTTTGAAGCTACAAGTGAACACTTTAACTACTGGGCTACCCCACTAATCTAGAATGCAGGTGAGGTGAAATTGGGTTTAACGTCGCGTCCAAGATTATTGCACTTATATAGCGATGTGCATGCACGTGTGTGTGTGTGGCTGCTTGTACTAGTCCAGCCTGATGCCGATTTATAGTGCTAGCCCACTGAGATACCATGCTGCAGTTTAACCTGAATACCCCACTCAGACACAGTATACTGACTCCGAGCCCACCAGTCCTTGTTTAAGCCCCTTAATGCCGAGCGCTAGACAGGGTAACAACAAGTACCATCTTTTAACGTCTTTTGGTATGACACTGCCGGGGATCGAAGATCTAGAAAGCAACTGAAGAAGGTCAGAAGAAGAAGGAATAACAATAATTTCAGAAACTGAATATTAATGACACTGAATAACTTGTGCCCTGGAAAGTGAGTGAGTCACTAAATACCATATTGTTTAGTGCCACTGTAGCAGGCTTCAAGAAGTCTCCACATACTATGGGGCAACAAATACTGTGAAAATTCAACAAGAAGTGATTTGGATGTTGCAGCTGTCCATAATTGCTTCACGCAGTGTTAAATTGACACTTGACCATCAGTCTCATTGATCTGAGCTCACTACTGATTATCAACATAATTACAGTCACAAATGAATTGAACCTGTCAGTGTTAAATACACCTCCAGACAGATGGTGTTGAACATCCGACCAGCATGGAGAGACTGAGTAGTGAGTACAGGCAGCAACTTCCATCACCTCCCCAACCGATCCCGTCTTACTTATCTGTACCCTACCCCCAGCCAGACACACCCCTTCACCCCGCCCACATGACCCAGTTTGTCCTATATTGGTCCTCTAACAATTGACCCCCAAGGTTTTATAAAATTCAAAGCAACAAACATTTTTTTATCAAAGGACAAGAACTGCAAAACATGGAGGTGATACATTCTTAATGACTCATACATTCACATAAAATAATATTCAATGTAAATGCACATAATCTTCAAACAACTTGTTCAAAAGCACTTAACATATACATGATCATGCATGCAAGTAATTGAGACTGGTGGCACACAGCTGATGCCTCATGCCAACAGTGGGATGATGCTGGGAGATACGAAGTAAAGACACAACATTAATGACAAACTAAAATGGACAATGGTTAATATAACCGCTTTGTTAGACTAATAATAATCATAACATATACAAAAATACTTTTTAATGTGAAGGTTTCTATTGGACAAGAGGCTGGTCACATGATCA